ACTGAGCCTGACTCGCAGCTTAACGCACTGGACTACACTTCCAATTACCTCTCCTGTCCGTTGATTACGGGAAAGGGCACATCTGACTAGCTCGACTAGTGTCTGCGAATAATGAAATGCTGCCGTACCCGATACACGCCCTTTCACCTTCAAGAGCTCCTAATCGTTGGACAAAATATCTGCCATTAACTATAACTTGAAACACCCCGAGAACGAAACATTGTAAAGACATGTTCTCGGATGATGACTTCCAACCATTGCCCTAATTTGAGGTAAAGATATGTGAAAGGAGTTATGAAGATTTTTTTCCACGTCGAGAAAGCTTTTTCAACAGTTCATTATCAGCATATTACCAACCCAACCAATTTGGTGCTCATGTTTTAGTAATGATGTAGCCTATCTTGCTTGGGAGCCAGCACCAGTTGCGCTTCCGTGCCAAGGTTGAACTTCCAAATCAACCCAATCCCCGAAGCAGATTTAGGAAATCCAACACCTTAACGGATAGCCATCCAAACATATTGGCTTTCGCTTGGCCTTGTTGAAATGCAGCTAATGATTCTTATCCAAACGGTTCAAATGCGTGAAGAATTCCCTTTGCACCTCACTTTACAGCATCGTAGTAATAGACTCGAGATTACTATCCGAAAAGTCATCTGACGGTAATGTCTCAGTATGAACGGCCACTTCGATTTCGGACCGAAAAAGGAAATTTCGGCACTATTCCACTATTACTGCCCCAAAATCTCAAAATTTTATTTTTCGTCGAAACTTTGCCTATAGGGGTAATTCGATGCCCTGATTACGAATATGACATTCATTTTTGATGCTGGCGCCATTTGGCGCCAGTTGGCGCCACCTTGTCACGACGGCTGTTTTCACCAAATTCGGTGTAAACTTGTACATAGGGGTTATTTGGTGTCCTGATTACGAATATGACATTCGTTTTTGGAATTGGCGCTGTCTAACGCATATTTTCTGCTCTCCTGGCTCTCTCACTCACACATTGTGCTTAAAGCAACAGTCCCAGCAGGGTGGGCGTGGTCGGAAACGGCTGCAATCCCCTCGGCCGATTCCCACTTCGGAGCTGTTCAGCCCCTAGTCAAGAACGTAAGAAGTGTGACTGAACAAAAACTCACCTTGGAAAGCCGCTAGGGAGGGAGCTGAAGTGGGCGTGGTCGGAATCGGCCGAGGGGATTGCAGTCGTTTCCGACCACGCCCACCCTGCTGGGACTGTTGCTTTAAGACTAAGCTTATTGGAGAAGGACTCCGAGGTGGGTAACCACGCAGCATGTGACAAAAGTTGAAGTGTGTGATATCAGGGTGAGTGGCTCACTCACCTCTGAGCCCTCCTTTCCCCAAGGGCTTAGTCCTGATAGCGATCAACCCAGTGCGAGGGCGCAGACGAGCAGAAAATGGGCGCCAAATGGCGCCAGCGCAAAAATGAATGTCATATTCGTAATCAGGACCCAAATAACCCCTATGTACAAGTTTACAGCGAATTTGGTGAAAACAGCCGTCGTGACAAGGTGGCGCCAACTGGCGCCAAATGGCGCCAGCATCAAAAATGAATGTCATTTCGTAATCAGGGCATCGAATTACCCCTATAGGCAAAGTTTCGACGAAAAATAAAATTTTGAGATTTTGGGGCAGTAATAGTGGAATAGTGCCGAAATTTCTTTTTTTTCTGGGTAGGAAGTCTAGTGTTAAATACAGTGACAAATTGAGCATAGGAACCACATCTCCTGAGATGTTACAAGTCTGCCGCGTATTTGAAAAGAAAATGAGGCGGCGAAGAACCAGTGCTTAAGTACTGGAACATATTCTTGGAACAATGCAGCCACATGGTACGCCTCATTCCTAGGGTTTGAGCAGGTATTGAACTCACCTTATTCAATGTTTCACCATAGCAACGACCCAGGTAGTAATACGTCTTTCCATTTATAGGCTCAAACTTCTTCGAAGTTTGAAGGAACTGTTCTGCTTCACGAAGCCTTCGCGCTCTCTCTTCTGACTGCTCAGGATAATTGAAACGATACGAAATCCACCCTGATAATGTATGTTGGAGTTAATTTACAAGTAAAATTACCAGTAGCTTGTTCATCGTCAATTTACCTAGTTGTCTGTTCACTGCAGCGACCAGCCTAGTCTGTTCTTGGGTGTACTGCCTGTCTTGCTGATGATTTTGGGACTCAGCGAGCTAGAAACGCTCAAACATTATAAGAAAATCAAGAGAGGTTCCATAGGCTATTTCTTCCATTACAGAAGCAGACAAAAGAAGTAACAGCAAATATACAACAAGGTAAAAACGACCACCTCCGCTAGAATGTCCTTGTACTCCTCTTCGGCCTTTGCAAGATCACCAGCATTCTCACTGCTCAAAGCCATGTTAAATCGTATATGGGTTTTCGATAGAAAAGGGGTCTCTGATAGATCAGAAAGAGCTTGATTATAAAACTAAAAACAGAAACTTAAGTTAAGAGTCAGAATATGGATCAAAGTGAAAACAAATTAGTAGGTTACCTTTAGAGCTTTGGGGTAGTCGCTTAGGTTTTGATAGCATACGCCGAGCCTAGCTTTTACTTCAACTATGATATCAAGATTCGGAAATGTGTACAGCAAACGTGAAAACGAATCGGCCGCACTGGAAAAGCACGAAATTCGTCATACAGTGGTATAACTACGAACTCATCCAACATACAGCTTGAACTCTTTGAAGTGAATGTAGACTAGACCTAATCCAAAATAGGCGCCAGGATCCTTCCAATAATCAAAAGGTTTCAGTTTGTATGCTTCTTGATATGCAGACAGTGCTGAAACAATAAAAATGACGACATGAAAGAGCCCTGCAGACTTGGCATACAGCCTCGTTCATGTCAGATTGTGGTTGGAAAAAGTCAATTTGTCAACGACTTCAGCTGCTATATTAGTACACATTACGGTAAACTTATTCATATAAAATTTGAGAGTACCTTTAGCCCAATCTTGGGCAAGAACTGCTACATGTCCTAATTTTCTGTAAACATCGAATAGTTCATTCGTAGACGAGGTAGCATCTGCCTTCCGTGAAAGTAGATAATCCAGCCGACTTTCAAGAACACGATTAGCCTTAAATACTTTCAATAGGAAAAAATCGAAATAAATACATATGATCTAGCGAAATAACTATAGTAAGTACATGCTGATTAGGTATATTAGAGATCGTAAGACGTGAAAAGCGTATTGCGGACGATAAGTAAAGGAGGATCAAGCCTAGTGCGCCCACGCGTGGTCCCAAAATACTACTTGCACTTTACCGAAAGGTATATACTCAACAAATTGAATGCTCAAAAACCTCAAGTCAGGTCCCATATCAACAAAGTAGAGCTGGGAGGGAGGGGGAAGGGAATGAAACATTGCTTTGCATAACCTTTTGACCTTTGCTTAGCTCAGGTTGCCTTCGCAAAAAGTGTTTGCGGCAATGACAAGTCCCTCTTACATTTATTTAATCTGTCAAATGAAGCTCTTTCAATAGCCTCTTTTGGGAATCAGAAAGCTCTTGGTCTGTCTCGGTACTACTGAATCGTCTTCTGCGTTAACTTACAGCAACATTTGACGCAAGTTCCTTAGCTCCGACCTGCTTGCCTTGTACACATTACCGGTATTGGACCTATTTCTTCAACCCATGGTTGAATGTTGTTGTTATCTTCTGGTCGTTCTGTTAGACTGGTGTGAGAGTCCGCGATTCGCTTCACGATTTGCGCGATTTTTGCGATTCACGCCACAGGTCATAAAATCACAAGTGCTCCGATCAACTGCAAGGTGTTCTCCAATCCTGCCGCCACTTCTGCTTGATAGTGATGGCTGACGACGACTGCTCATGATTCCACTTGTTTCATATTCAGTGTTTCAAATGTTCAAATGGGGCACTTGCAATTTTTGCGATCCGTCGCAGGTTTCGCGCAAATCGCGAAAACCGCGAAGATCAGCGAAACTCGCGACGGATCGCGGACTCAGACACCAGACTTGATGTTTTTTGCTTTCTTCTTCAAGTATTGGATACTTTGTTCGAGTTATTGACTTTCTGTCGACTACTAGCACTGGTGGCGCACCTTTTGTGCAAAAAGTAAGTAAATAAATAAATAAATAACGAGCCCTTTGAAGATAAGGAAGGCTATTAGCTTCGTTGTTTCTCCAGCTTCATCTATTTCATTTTTTATTTGGTGCGGCTTTAGCTGCCAGATGGCCAAACAAACAACTGTGTGCTAGGGTATAACGATTTTCGTCTGAGATTAGAGAAGGAAAGCCCTCCGACGTCAACTCCCTTGTGCAGGAAAAGGAGTGGTTCACCCAGCCAACATTTATTCCGTTTTCTCAGGTAAAGATCTCACTCTGTGGCTCACCTAGGGAGTTTAGGACGAAAACCTTTTTAATAATCGCAAACGTGTTAATGTAAAAATAACGAAGTATCGCTACACAACAAACGCAACAAAAGGGTACTTTACCTTGAACAATATGCTTCGCTCTGGACATCGACGAGGATCCCCATTGCTGTAGTAGTTATTAAAGTCGAGGCTAAAAATAAAAGGTGTAAGAATAATTGGATGGGAAAACTTAATTATACGGCTCACCGTAAGCACTAAGCTTAGCAGGAAATCCGAAAAAAAAGACTTTAGCTTAATTCGCGAACCAAAAATTGAGGCGTCCCACTTAACAAGTTAGGCAACACCGAAACTAGGGTGTAGTTCCCTCGGACGTAGAGCAAAATTCCCGCTTTTCGCACACGAAAGTTTCTTCGATACAAGAACCCCACGTCCACTCTTCATCAGTGATGACTGGGGATCCCACAACGGGGAATTCGCTTCCTGTCCTGTCCTAGAGAACCACACCCCTGAGCTATTGGAGCATAATGGCATAAACTCTGCAATGCTTGCATATTTAGATTCAATGACCTACGCATGTAAAATACGCCATCAGCCAAATACGGAAAAGAAAACCTCTGACAGCCGATTCGTTTCCATAAAGCAAAAGGATAAAGCATTTGCCGTTGATCAATCCCTTTTTGGGATGCGGCACGCATTCTACTTCCATTTGTACATTCGTAGTGGCGTTTGAATGCGATGTGGCCTATACAATGACTTGCGGGGGCCAGCCGATGTACAAGTCAGTGTTTTTATCCTCCCAGACAAGTCTGGTACCAATTAACCGACCCCGGAGGGATGGAAGGCTTGGTTGGCCCGGGCGACTCACGACCCAGGATTTGATCCCCGGACCGCTCGCGTGGTAAGCGTGCCACTTGCCACTACACCACTTCCGCCCTTGTTTCTATATATGAATCAAATCATAAGCTACGGTAACCAGCGATTTCAGCGATGCTCCAGCGATTACAGTGATACTTAGGGCCCGATGTCCAGGCGAAGCCGATTAGTGCACAGACTCTTCAAACGCTCACCGGGCATCAGGAGCACTAATGGTTCCTTTGAACTGGACACCAATTCGCTGCTTCGCTCCTCGAATACACTCCACTAAATATGAATCGACTTCGATCGGACCCTTGTGTTCAGTTTCTATTATTGAGCGCTGCTGATTCCTGCTGGAAAGCCTCAAAAAATGAGCGATTTAAGGGCCCTCGCGCAAGCCAGAATTTCTCCACTTGAAGCAACGATCCCAGATGAGGTCGTGTCGAGCAGACTATTCTATGGGCAGGATAGAGTAGTTCGCAAGTATCAATTGTACCGCTGTCCCGACAGCGGCGCAGGACCTTACGAAGTGAGCTAATGATAGATAAGGTGAGCTAGTGGGCGAGAAGGTACCTTGCGTACACCCCATGACACGCAACGACGAATCACGACGAACCTTCCTTTTCAAAAAACGAGAAAGTGTCGGGTGCAGACCATGCACCACAAGTGACGACGGCCTTCACAAAATGTTAATGTTTTCTGCCAATGAAATGATTAGCCTGTTGCAGTTGTATTCTATCATTGTCACTAATTACAACTATCATTTACCAGAAATCAGCTATCACTATGAACAACTTCTAACCAGATTTACTTGGAGGCCGTCGTCAGTTGTGGTGTTTGGTCTGCACCCGACACTTTCTCGCTTTTTGAAGGGGAGGTTAGCTGCTAATTCGAACACACGCGGGTTAGTGGAGAAATAAGGCAAGCTAGTTCAGGCAACTCGTAGAGAACGCTACTCCCTCATTTTAGGAGAAAAAAGGGAGCCTTGTTTAAGGGCCTCACCGGCGCTCGTTTTGCTTCTTTTTCGTTTTCAGACAGCTCGGCATCACGATTTTGCTGTTATCTTACCAATTTGATCTGGGGTTGTTGCCTTAAAGGAATCCTTCGCGGAAAATTCTTGCATTCTTTCTCAACATGAATGTGTCAGTTGTGATCACTGGAAACAGCACACAAAGTTTCACGCATGAAGATTCGGTTTCCGAAGAGAAACAAACTCACGAAAATCCATTCTATGGACAATCGAAGGTAATTCGGGCGGAGCCAAAGGCGGGGCATGGAAAAGTCCGCCTTGGGGCGGCTACGTATCAGGCGACGCAATGAAAGAATCGGGTTAAAGCGCGCGATTTTGGAGAGTAGAGACAAATCGATCGATAGAATAGGATGGAGTAGAAGTGTAAGATGTGAATGCAATAAAGCAGAAGGCCAGAAAGAGTTTCTAGTGAAGGCACTCCAAGAACCAAGTGGAAGCATCCCCGTCGCCAGCATTTGTGAAAGACGTCCGTGGGCACTTTGAACGCGTAGCAGCCCTTTCGATTTTTCGAATTTTTTACCAAAACAAAAGCAATACTTCTGTTCTTTTCATTCTTATCGTGGATAATGAGTCTCAAGCCAGTGATTTATGGCTGAAATAGAATCATGATTTTTCCGTGAAGGATTCCTTTACCTATTGAACCATCGCGCTTCCTCGCCTGCTGCCGCCGAGACCAGGGTTTCGGCTATTCAATCAAGGAAGCCATGGCGCGCAGGATTGCCTGTTATCTCTGAGAGGTGGACTTCGCCAGGGAGCATTAGAAGAAATCAAAAAGTACACTAAAGACTGATGGAGCCAAGTAATGTTCAGTGTTTTTCAGAATCTGTACTTCAATCGGCTCCAATGGAACCACGACATTGAGAATCAGACGAATAGCTGGCGCATCACTGGAATCGCTGCCGTATCGCCGTAGCGCACGTATCACTCGAATGGCTAGGGAATCGCAAATTCTGGCACCTGTTTTAACGACTGACTGAATGATTGACGTGAATCCTGGTGTTAAATGCAGTGCGCCTAACTTCTAGCCCAATGTATAAGGGATAAAGAACTGTTCTCTGTCAGCGATTTCTCACTACTTGCGAAAGAAGAGGACTTCGAAAGAGACCGGAATATCTTAAATAGCTCGTTCCGCTCCTTCGCTCCCACTGACTGGGAACACGGAAATCGCAACAACGTTTGGATGAATTCCGACTGGACCATACCGGATTCTGCGGAATCCGCATGGCGCAGACCAGGACAGAGCTTCATGCCTGCCCTTCCTATTTGAGATGTTATATACTTCCCATTAATCTTACCACTTTTATACACTAGGGGAGGAGGGGAGCATTTGATGCACCAATCCGTGCTTGTCATTTTTTTACGTATATCAATGGAAAAACCCCGTCACCAAATACACGGTCTTCGCCCGCCCATGAAATAACCGAATTCATATTAAGGGTCATGTTTACACTGAAACGGAGTTTATCGCGAGAAGCTAGCCTATCAGAAATGAAGGTAAAAGTGATCAAGGGTGCAGGGTGAGGAGAGAACTATGAGAAATGGCCCAAAACCCAAGAAAAGGGCCTCTACCTTGCACGCTGATTTCTGCATTGATGCACTGTCACTACTGCTGCCCACTTCTATGAACGCTCTTTCCATTGAACGGCTAGAGCCAGACGGCGGGAGGGTGGGCGTGCCGCGGTGTGGGTATGGCCCTACTAGGCCGCCGAGACATATCATTTGCTGCGAAACGCGTATCGGCCAGCACTCTTAGAGACCCCCTTGCCTATCGGCAGGCGGTGTATTTCTCTATTTTCGACTTCCGAGCTTATCGTGGAGCTCCTTTAATAAGAGATGACTGAACTTGAAGTATTCAGCCCCAAACTCTCCAACGTGGTACCGTCCAATTCGATTTTTGGAGCCTTGTAAATGACACCGATATTTCAAGCACGACTTTTAAATGGAGCCGCTGCGGCGTTCATAGGAGAAAAAAAATTAAGAAGCTAGAAATAATCACCACATGCAATTATTGCACTACTTGAGATGTTGTTTACTGTGGCACTGGTAAGGGTAACTCTTTGTTGACTATTGGATATAGAAGATAGGAATCAAAAAAGTCCTAGCAATACTGTGGGACCTCCTTCGTTATCAGCTTTCCCAGCCATCCTTTTTACATAACGTGCCTTGAATAAATTATCACAGGCAGTAGACGAATGAAGGCCTGCTACATTCGCGCCTTCATACTCAACTTTTCAGGATGATCAGAAGATCACGGGAATAGGAGACTGGAATTCAGGGAACTGGAGGATAGAAAACACTGTTAAAAACTGGATCAGCTTATGGGAAGAGTACAAAAAAATGATCAGGTCTTCTATTCTTAAATTCTCAGGTCGAATCAAATCAGCAACTGATCATTCAGGCTTATTTTCTTACTTCCCTTTTCTTATTCAAATCGATTGGTGTTTAGCTTTTCCAGAAGAATTTCGGTATTTAGCTTATTCACAAGGATTTCCAGAACTCCAACTTTCGCAAAAAGTTGATTATAAGCTAAACTGCACATCACTTTCGATCTTAGGTGACTGACCTGCTCAATGAAAGGAACCGATCCGTCTCGATGGCTGTGAACGTGGGCATCACATCTTGGGCCCTCGTCCAGTCCATGACGTAGGGAGGCGGTGTATGAATAGTGGGCGCTATCTTGTCAGCACCCTTAACATATGTTCCATTTTAGAATAAAAGCGGATAGAAGATAAGAAAAAATTCAAAATTAACAAGCAGCCGAGAAAATAAACTAAACAACAATTAACGAATAAATAACGAAGCATTATGGAGTATTCCCATATGTAACGAGGACGTGTAAGAAAAAACGAAACACTCAAAAGAAAGAGGAGAAGGATGCTGAATAAACTGTGTATGGGAAGCAAGCACAAAGGATTACATGCAAGCTCAACCATAAAGAAATGACAGCCAAATCAGCAGTCGTGAATGTAGAACTTAGAACTAGTGACAAAAATGGTACCAGGTAATGAGTGTCTCGCCATCACGCTGCGCTCTGAATATGAATACCTTACATTCACCTAGAATGAAATATGGAAGATTATTTACGAGATAGTTTAGTTCCATTCTTGTCTCAACATCCGCAAAACCTCACGTTATCTCAGGCTGGTGCCAGAGTCAGGCGCGAATCGCGCGACGGATCACAGAAATCACAAGTGCCCCGATCAATACTGCAAGGTGCTCTCCAATCCCGCCGCCATTTCTGCTTGATGGTGATGGCTGAATGACGACTGTTCATGATTCTACTTGTTTCATATTCAGTGTTTCAAATGTTCAAATGGACACTTGCGATTTTTGCGATTCGCGCGAATCGCGGACTCCGACGACAGCTTCACGACCACGCCCAGCCAAAGGCCCCGCCTTCCATTTGTATGGAGCTAGAGGTAAACGACCACTCATCCTTTTACGAACGCAAGAACATGATAATGGTAGGAGTTAGAATACATCTTATTCCTTTACACTGTCGAATTGGCTAAATTAGAAGGCGAGCTCAGGAGTACCTTGAGAACTCATCGATTCTCTGCCCAGCTTCAAGTAATAATTGTTCAGTTCTGAAGGATCGGACTATATCTTTAATCAATAAATGTAACAACATTACGCGCTAAGTTAGCTAAACTAGTATTGAACCTTATTGTGAACATTGTACCGAGTCTCCTTAGGCTGGTGTCAGAGTCCGCGCGATCCGTCGCAGGTTTCGCTGATTTCGCGATTTGCGCGATTCACGCGATTTTCGCGATTTGCGCGATTCACGCGACGGGTCACGGAAATCACAAGTGCCCGATCAATACTGCAAGGTGTTCTCCAATCCTGCCGCCACTTCTGCTTGATAGTGATGGCTGAATGACGACTGCTCATGATTCCACTTGTTTCATATTCAGTGTTTCAAATGTTCAAATGGGGCACTTGCAATTTTTGCGATCCGTCGCAGGTTTCGCGCAAATCGCGAAAATCAGCGAAACCTGCGACGGATCGCGGACTCTGACACCAGCCTTACCAAGACTATTGGTCAAAAGCTACCTAGTGGTAGCCAAATTTGAGAACCAAAAGTAGTTCTGCCACTGGATAATCCCAACTAAACAAGGCGCTCTCATCCATAAGTATTTTGTTTTGGTGAGCAATAATGCGAATCGTCATAACCTCGTTAGCAGATGAGTTTCTTCTCCTTTTACTCATTTCTGAGATCTGTAAAGCAATCCGAACAGACGCATAGTACGTTCTCAAGCCGTTCGAAATTGAATAAAGTGATGTTTATTAGTTTTCACTCTTGAACCTGCACAGATCAGCCCCTTGAGAAAATCCTATAGTTCAATAGAGCGATTCTATTGAGGATGATCAGGTCATTCAGTGAAAATAATCTATCTGGAGCAAATAGAAACTCTTGAAAGGTCATAATCTTCCAAGGGAGAGGTCGCTCAATGGGAACTTGCTCATAATTTTTTTCAAAGTGAGCAAAACAGCGAGTCCAAACGACGCGTACTACACGTGCGAAAATCGCAGTACTACACGTAACCACATCAGAGGAAACTACAATATAAAAATAATACATTGAAAATGACCATGAAAAGTAAAATTTCAACAAAAACCTTCCCTGGCAATCAAAAATAAGAGTAAATCTAGCTGTAGAATCCGACGGGCTCGCTCAACAGCAATGGAGCACTTCTACTAACCGCGTTGCGTCCGGCGCAAAAACGTCCGCGGCGCGTGCTTGGATTTGGCTCAGGAAATTTGAACCAAGTGGTTCTGTATTATGTACCGATATCTGTCATCGCTTTTCTTGAACTTATTTCCGCTAGATTGTACAAAATGCTATCCAACAACATACTTTGGTGATTAGGAAAGTTATTTGCTTTCGAAAAAGCAACATCGAAACTGAGTCGTGTAGGTATCTGTTCGGCGTTTGGCTTCCGCTTGTCGGAACCCGATACTCTCTGGCCAATCTAAAGGGACAGGAGGTTCTAGCCAATGCTTTTGAGTAGGTAGTGTTGAGGTCTCAACTAATGGAACAAGGTTGTTGCATTAACTAGAGATGGTACAACTTCCTCTTGATTTGATACATATTTTGTCAAAGATGGTTAGAACCTCTCGTGCAGAGCATTACTTTCCCAAATTGGGTCATTGATATGCATCAGCTTCTTCTTAACATGCAAGGATCTACTGGAAACCTTCGCTCTATAGTTTTTATGTGTGCGTAAGGGTGCATTCATAGTCGGTCGTGTGATCGTAACGATCGCGCAGCATTGAGTGTGTATCGATCGCCAGACGTGTCCGATTATTGGACAATCGATACGCATCTAATGCTATGCGACCTTTACGATTGATATCGTTATGTCATCGTACGACCTACACGAATGCGCCCTAAGATTGCGAACGTACTTCGCGAAAATCTTGCAGTTCAAGTGTGGAGTAGTTGCCGATCGGCCGTGCAATCGTGGATCGCGTAATTCATACATATATATACTCCCCACTCGAATTGCAAACGGAGTACAGGAAAGTCCCAAAGTATGGACGCACACTAATGGCGAAAAATGTTCGTCTTGTGCGTGTGTGCATGCTTCTGCCTTGCTTTTGAGTACCGCAGATATTGTGGTCGTCTGCACTTGCATGTATAGGGTTACTCCTAGCATCGTCCTCTCGACAGCGCGTTGGATAACGCTGACCGCATGCTCGTCCTGCCTGCGCAGAGTCCAAGTCTCTGAGGCGTAGGTTAGGGCAGGAAGGACAGCGGAATCGAAGAGGTGGGCACGGAGCCGGATGTTCTTCGTCTTCTTCACTACTCCCTCGATGTTCTTGTACGCTCCCCAAGCCGCTCGTTTCCTCCTGCTCAGCTCTGGAGCTAGATCGTTCATCATATTGATTTCCCGACCTAGGTACACGTAGCTGGAGCATTCGGTGATGTTCGTTCCGTTGAGCGTGAATGGGGCATCAGGAACCAATCCGTTTCTCATAAACATCGTCTTCGTTAGGTTCAGCTGTAGACCGACCTTACCACAGGCGCAGTCGAAATCAGCCAGCATTCGCTCCGCTTGCTCGATGTTCGGCGTTATAAGAACGATGTCGTCAGCAAAACGAAGGTGGTGTAGTTGCCGGCCGTCGACCTTCACTCCCATGTCAACTCTGCACGCGACAGGGACGAATGGAGACGTTGCTGGCGCCCGCTCGAGCAATTCGATGATCAACGGGACGACAGGTGATACAGGTGATTGTGATCGTCATATTCAGGTTTCCAACAAACTGGACAGGTTACAGCGACTGTGTTGTAACAGCATGGATCAGTTTTCACGCTTCTTCCATTTGCTAGCATTGTTCTGTCGTTTGTGCTTCGTTCAATGAACTCACACAGCTCTCTAACCAACTAACCCCACCCTTTCATAGCAATTGATAGGGAGCCTTCGGCTGCAGATGTGAAGGCATTGCGACAGCATCGCATTCAAATTTGTGCTAAGAGTCACTTTCTGTTATAAAGCCTGTGTCAGATTTTCGGACTCGCTACACGCGAATCGCTGAATTCGCGAAGTCTGACACCGTCCTAAACGGGAATAAGCCTTATACAGGGGAGGGGTGCGGTCAGGGTGTGTAACAATTTTTCGTTTTCTGTGGAGTTTCTCCGCCACCTCGCCTAAAATTAGTCCCAGGAGATGTCACTGTATCTTGCGATAACGCCACATGATCTAGTGCTTTCGTTACACTTGATAGGAACGAGAGTGAGAATGTGAATGAAGTCAGAGGATTGTTCTCCACTAGTTTTAGGCATTTTTCGTGTCTTTTCCTTTTTGTACATTGCCTTTTTGCACATTTTTCTCATTTCTGCCGTGAAGTGGTATCAGCATTTGTACTCCTTTCTCATATGGAAGTAGTCACTAGTAGCTAGTTACTTTCTAGGATAGCGGGGAATTGTCTTGACATTGTGGTGCGGTGATGCAGTTGCCGCATAGCAGGCATGGGGACCTCCTAGATTTCGCGCTAATGGGAACCATGAAAGAGAGGTAGGCGAGGTCAACTGACATGCGTGAAAGCGGAATCGCAAGTTTACACTGCTTGAGCGGATCGCTAGCATGCTGCAACAGCCCCCCCCCCCTTCTCCTCCCTCCTTACGTTACCACTCCCCCTCTCTCAGAAATCGTCACTCCCGCTTTTCTCGCGTACACCTGTTGTCCACGTTTACTGAAACTAATGTCTCAGAATTCGCTTGGGACCGCAAAAGAACCCCATGGTACCGGCGTAGTTCGATATCACCCCCACAAGCACTCATTCATAACAGTAGGTACACTTCTGTGTTCCTACTGTTATGAATGAACTAATTTCGTTTCAGATTCGCTTTGTTCTGAGCTCCAAAAGACTCGCCTAGTGGGACCGCGTAATTCGAATCACAGCAGCCACAAAATTGCATCCGTCCTATTTGATCAAGGAGTCATAACGCGTTGGCGTCAGTGATTTAGGAATCCAGTAGGAACACAGAAGTGTTCCTACTGTTATGAATAAATCCCCAATTTTTCTTTCAGTAGTCCTTCACTTGGTTCGATAGGCATCTCCATGCGTTACTACACTACATTTGATGATAGGCGAAAACATAATGTAATGTTCAGAAATTAAATGGAAGCGGGGAAAACCGCCGCATCCCGATTTCGTGGCTCCGTGATTTCTCACAGTTTAAGGCGTGGGCACGGCGCGCGCGGATTAGTCAGAAGTGCCCCCGCAGGTTTCGCGCGCTCCTTGAAGCCGCATTTTCACAGCGCCCCGCAACTGCAGGAGCAGTACCTACTCGTCCGCGCTCACTGAGGCTATGCCTTAGAGTGTGAAAAAAATCAAGTAGCCGATATTGTCCATATTTTTTTAACCTATATCCTTAGCCACCATTCTGATCTTTATGGTCATCGGCACAGTTCTTTCACTTTACGTCACCCAGTGTTATTATTTCCACTACTTTTCTCTTCATAACGCTAACCCATACCGTAGTAGGCACTGTCTGAAGATGTTTTGTTATTTTCATTTATTTCAGGTTGCAGAACTCAATGCGTCTCTATCGAGGACAACGTATTGCTGCATCTTTTTTGCATAGGGAACAAGCACAGAAACAATATTTGACTATTGATCGGTCGTTATGGTATGAACCTAAGGTGTGTTCTAAATTGTGGTACTCACAGTAGTGGTCAAACGTGTTTGCCGAAACGCTTTTCGTGCCTTCATTCTTCCCTCCATAGAAAGATCTAGAAGATTAGTTCGAAGCCTTCTTTCAGATATCTAAACTCTTCAAGAGTCAAGGTTTTGAAGGCTTCAAAAGGCATGTCTTATTGAATATTTGAAGGGCACTGTTTGAGCGAGGAAAAATAACGCCGAAAGAACGTTTCGTCGAACACTTTTGACCGCAATATTTACCAGGATGGTCATCAGGTCATCCTGGCCAGTTGTATTGAAGTGTACACTTTCACATGCTGTTTGAGATGCTGAGCTCAAACGTGCTTTAATCATCTCCTGAATGCTTCTCTGAATTTAGTCATGAAGCTGACTAGCACAACGGCAGTGTCTGAGTTGACCTTGGCTAGCTTGCTCCTTTGCTTTTTTGACGATGCTCTTACGGAATGCAGCAGTGCAAGCTCGCTAACGCTTTTTGGTGTAGCAGTGCTCGTTCGTACAACTAAGTTCAGCGAAGTGTTTAGCAGAAATGCAAGCGTATTTGGACTTAGTGTCTTAAGGAGCGCTATCAATATACACATCCTTTCATTAGGCCAGGCTTGGCTAGCGCTGATCTTCCATATATGTTGGCTATTATAACAAATGCAGCGGCGTATACTTGCTTATGAAGCTTTATTGATTGCACGTTCTTACGTAAGGCTCTCGCATCGAAATTATAGAGGTTTCCATAGTATTCAAATTTACTACAGTTTTATGAACTTGAGCAGAAACCTTACCAATTTTTTCGTTACCATTTCTGAAAAGTCGTCTTTTTCGGCCTTCCTTCCATTTCTTTTTTTTTTTGAAAATAGATATTATAGTCATGGGGATCCTGTTCTTTTGTATGTTTTCTTCTAGTTTCTAGGGAGACTTTCATTTTTCAGATCCATTTGGCTTCTCCACTGCTGCAGTCAACTTTTTTTCTATCGTTTCTTGATGCCGATACTGAATCTTTTCTTGAGGATTCCTTCACAACCAGCAGCTCCGTCTGCTTGCAAGTAAGACAATCATATCAAATGCTGAACCTTACGAGACATCCTGCCCTAACGTATTTCTACTCAGATTGAGTTAGTGTCTAATCCATTCATAAGAAGCAAGGTCTGAAAAGCTGGGAAATCAACCAAAATTGTAGACTCAGGGGTTATGGTTTGGCTCATGTCCCACCACTATTTTTTTCCTTTAATTTGCTCGTTACTTCGTTCGGAGAAAAATGATGGGTCTATTGAACTACTTATGAAGTGCACAATGTCTGTTTATTTAAACTTGTTTATATAAGTTCTTTCAGCTCTACTATGCTTTCGTGTCATTCATTATGTCATTTTTCCTGTCGAAAACGAGCATCAATGGCGTCCTGAATCGCGGTGGAATGTTTCTGTTCTCAACTCATCAGTTGCAAGAATTTTTGAATATCTCCTCCGATTGGGATCCTCACAATAAGCAGGTATCTGTTTTTGTGCTTGTGTTTAGTTGGCCTCCTTCAAAATCATAAGTTTGCTAACAAGATTTCGGTGGCACCTCTGTGAATTTTTTGGAACTATTCGCGTGGATGAGGAAGATGTACCAGAGAAATTAATGCAGCATCAGCACCGTTCCTGCGAAAAATTGACCATATACTGAAGGGCTGCTAGTGACATGGATGATATAGAAAAAGTAGCCATTGGAAATAGGGTCGTGTTGCACGGAATGTGTGAGTTAGATGGAGGCGGTAAACCCGTCAGTGGTTCGTTCTACCACTCTCACTACTTCAGGGAGGAGGGCGCGGGGTGGGAGCTATACCTACTCATCTCAAATTTTGCATTCTTGGAAATTCTTTCTTATTTAGATCTTCAGTAAAGTATATGTAGAGCTGCAGCACTGATTTCGAGTTTCTTTCGCGTGCTTGGTTTCAACAATCTAGATAAGAATGCACCTACTTAGCATGTACTCGAGTTGCTTGTCGAACACGGCTAGGAATTGTGTCCGGAGCCATCCACCGTGTCTCGTGTGTTTCGTTCAAAATTTGATCGTACATATTGCAGCGAGAGTGACCGATTGCGAAACTTGTTTTACGCTCATTGAAATCTTGTTCTCAAAACATTTAGGGTGCTAAGTGGGTTGGGGGGACACGCGGCGGCGCGGCAGTCTGCTCACCTGGCGCTCTCTCGAGCGAGACAGTGTAAACTCGAACATTCCAGCTTTTCACGCATGTCAAGTGACTGCCCTCACCCCCCCCCCCACCCCCCCCTAGACTGCCTACACTCCCCCTGGCTCACGGATTACCCGAAGTGCCGCGTCGCCGCGTGATCCCCCCAACCCATTTGGCACCACACTTACAAGGAAGGTCTTTCAGGGTGTGCCAAGCTTTTTCAAAACGGTCTTTTGCATGATATAGAGGCACATGCGGGAACCACAGAACCATGGTTAATTTTTCCTGAACGGCCCTCTGAATACCAGAAAAGGGGTCCCTAGTCACACCTTTTTCACCAGTTTTTCAATCAAAGTCTATTTGTAAGGGTTACTGACGGTCCTAATCATGAATTTGGTACTAATTATTCATGCTAACTCCATTTTGCGCGAATTTTGAAACGTCAACTCGAAATGCAAAAATTTGTCACCACGAGGAATCGAACTAGGGACCCCTTTTCTGGTATTCAGAGGGCCGTTCAGGAAAAATGAACCATGGTTCTGTGGTCCCCATATGTGCCCCAATGTCATGCAAGAAACCATTTTGAAAAAGCTTGGCACACCCTGAACGACCTCCCTTGTTAGTTCTAAAGGGTTCACTACCTTTTTTTCAGTTACTTGATCTTGGCGCTGGAGATGGTGGAATAACGAAGAAGCTGTCGGCGTTCTTCCCAAATGTCTACGTAACCGAAATGTCGCAGGCACGAGCTTCAGGTTTTTCAACCCTTTGTTTATTTGCTTCACAGCGGCATTGTTCATTTTTTTTTTGAAAACTTTCGGTTTACCTAGTGTTTCTTGTCCTTGACTCCTTAATGATGCTTCGAGTACAGTATAACCACAGATGTTGTCATCTTCCTTTTTACACCTTCACTCCTGCACTCTTAATGTGGCACTCAGACTTGTGGTTAGTATTTAGATTGGAGAGCTCATTGGTGAAGAGTGACTTTTCGTGTTGTTGATGGAATGGCCGCTTTCTTCCCCTCGTCCAAGTGTTTCGCTTTCGGCTTTCCTCAACTCAAATCACCTCATGTCCTGTTTTTCTCGATGCGCATTCTCAGCACAAGCAACAAGTGTAACATGTTGCTGACCGAAGGTTTTTATTCTGCTGAAGAAACTGCAATAACCATTTTTAGGTAAAATAATGTGTTAGTTCTAGTCCAATCGCTCAGTCCCCTTGTTTTACGTCGGTGGTCATTCAGTAGTGACTGCATTAAAGGAGGAATTCACGATTAGAATGAAGGTCGAAGAAAGGGAAACTGACCTAGTTGAGGGACCCACGGACCTCCTGAGGGTGCGAACTGACGCGCAATTCGCATGGAAAAATTTGACCTCGGCGACCTATCATGCCTCAAAGCTGGCGGGTCCGGCGATCTCCGCCCACCGATCATCTGATCACTCGCCGTAGTTCAATACGTGGCGAGTGATTAGATAGCTGAGAGAGCGTAGTGTTGAAGAGGGCACAGCGATGAGAGTCGCATCAATGCTCAATCAACGGGCAAGGAAGGGGTCCATTTCTCGGGTTCTGGGCCGTTTCTCATGGTTTCCTTCTTTCTAGGTTAATTTGAAATGGTTGCCTTTTTCAAGTGAATTCGTCCTTCAAAGGATCCTTCCATGGTAAAGTTGGAAGTCGAAGAAGGGAGATATCCCAGTCGAAACCCTGGTGGGCCCCTCAAGGGTGTTGTTGATTTTTCTTTTTTTTTTCTTTTTTCTTCGTTGTTGTTTTTCCTTCATCCTTCCATCACTGTCGACCCATCTTAATTTTCAAAGGGCTGCTTTTTCATCGTAGGCTCCGCGATTGAAAGTGATCGCTAAAGCACAATCCCCGATTATGCACGCTCGCAGCTTCATCGCTGATCCCAGTTTTGCGCGCCTCAAAGTGCGTAAGGCCGGTGTCAGACTTTGCAATTCCAGCGATTCGCTGGTAGCACAGGTCCAAATGTGATACTTAAAGGAATCCTTCCCGGAAAATCTTGCATTCTTTCTCAACATGATATGTCAGTTGTGATCACTAGAGACAACATACAAAGTTTCACGCACAAAGATTCAGTTTCCGAAGAGAAACAAACTTACAAAAACTACACTCTATGGACAATCGAAGGTAATGGCGCGGAGCCAAAGGCGGGCATGGAAAGAAGTGCCTTGGGCCGGCTACGTATCAGGCGACGCAATGAAAGAATCGGGTTAAAGCGCGCGATTTTGGAGAGTAGAGACAAATCGATCGATAGAATAGGATGCAGTAGAAGTGTGAGATGTGAATGCAATAAGTCAAAAGGCCAGAAAGAGTTTCTAGTGAAGGCACTCCAAGAACCAAGTGGAAGCATTCCCGTCGCCAGCATTTGTGACAGATGTCCGGCGGTACTTTGAACGCGTAGCAGCCCTTTCGGTTTTTCGAATTTTTTTTACCAAAACAAATGCAATTTTTTTGTTCTTTTCGTTCTTATCGTGAACGATGGTCTCAAGCCAGTAACATAGAATCACGATTTTTCCACGCAGGATTCCTTTAAAACTCTCAACCCGTAATGCGCCTCTTCCGCGAACCCGGCCTTCTGCTGTCGGCTGCAAATATGGTTGCGACAGTGCTGCGGCTAACTATGGCGCTTCTCCATTTGTTGTTTGGGGAGTCCTGGCTCTTATTCTGAAGAGCTGGGGCCGTATGCTATCCTTTCTTTGGGGAAGTATCCCCTTCCTTTGACGCTCTCCTAAGGCTGTTGGAGACAGGGCTGTGGCAAAGGGTCCGCAATGTCACCACATTTCTACCTTTTATAATAGAACAGGACATCTTCAATAGAAGTAAGTTCCAGTAGAGATGCGCAGCACCCACCGGCCATTTGTAAGTCCCACAGTGGAACTCTTTCTTCCCCCAGACTGCTGCAAAGAGGGCGTACCCCTCAGGAGAAGGCGGCCCATGGACTCAGTAACTCGAGATTTTTTTCTCTATACTGACTCGCATCTCTATACTGACCTCGTCTAGGACTTGTAATGATGAGTCCTAGAAAAGGTGAGTCTCAGTTGCGACCAGGGTCAACCCTACGTTGTTACTAGTAACAACGGGGGTCGTACTTGGTTGAGTTTGTAGGAGGGGGGTCGTACCCGTGGTTGAGTTTGTAGGAGGGGGGGGGTCGTACCCGTTTCAGTCGCTTGAAATCACATGTGAGTTTGAGGTGAAACTAAGTTTTCGTGGGTAGTAGGCTGGGTGAGTTGAGGGGCGCAGGATAAAAATTTGCCGTTTCAGCGCGCGTATATACCCCCCTAGAAAATGAAGTAGTGGGAATATAGGTAAATATAGGTAAAAGCCGGTAAAAGTAGGAGTAAAATGGCGGAGATATAGGGAATTTTTACTGTTTCAGAGTAGCTATATACCCCCCGCTCGACGGCATTTTTGGAGGAAAAAGTGGGCGGAGTTTGGTGGGTTGAGTGGTATCAGAATTAAATACTATAGAGACGATGATGGTGGTCGAGGTGTGGAAAAGGGGGTCGTATCAAATCCACCTTGGGGGAGGGGGGTCGTAAAAATTTTCAACAACGATAGGGTTGACCCTGGTCGCGACTTCCTCGATAGTCTCTTTTGTTTTGTTTTTCTTTTCTTAACTCACTTAACGAGTAACTTAGCATGCAGATATTCTTATTTGATTCAGTTCCCCTCTTTTTTTTTCTTATCGCGAGTCGTCTTTAAGGTAATGCAGTGGCGGCTCCGCAACGAAGGCTTTCATATTGAAGACGTTGAGGGATGGAGCTCATCATCACGTCGGTACGATATGATATCGGCGCTTAATCTCCTCGATAGGTAGTTTCATTTATTTATATTTATTCCTTAGTTGAGCGCTACTTCTTTTCCAACAAAGGATGCGTTCAGGCACTACAATCCACGGAAATTACTACGAGATCTCCACTCGCTTGCTCTTCGGTCAAACTGTTATGTTCTTGTTGGCAGTAGTATTGCCTATCCATCAATATGTGGAATTTCATCCCTCCCGTAAAACTACGGAAGCTGGTAAGATTCAGATCAGTTTTTCACATGCTTCATTTTTCATAAGGTTTTTTAGACGTGAGGTTAGCCGTAGAAGGAAGTACTATTGAAGAGCAAGCATCATTCCTGGTTGAGAGAGAGTTTTCACCTGCAGGTTTTGATTTGGTGCGGTGGACAAAACTCCCTTATCTTTGTGAAGGAGATTACTATAAGGTATGCTCGATTTCCAAATTTTATTTTTTAGTTCCATTTTTGAATGAAGTTGCGTTGCTGTGAGTACCATTTGTTAAATAACGAGCAGAGTATTCAAATCCCCTTCCCCAGTTCATTGATCACTCCGGCAAGCGGTTTTTGAGGGTTTCTTTTTTCATAATCGTTGAATCCTCTCCTATTCACATCAGTTACCTACTGAGTGATTTCTAATCCATACAAAAACACCAATCTTCAGCTCAGACCAGGGGTTTAAAATTGTAATTTTTTCAGATTCTCTTCATCCAGACGAAAAATCGCGTAGTCAGTCCAAAGAAAATAAAGCATAACCGATCAGAACAATCAAGTATACAGGAGACTTGCCTGACTACTTCATGAAAAGCACCAAAGCCACTCCTGCATGTGAGAGGCACGATGCTTTCAGTCGTTACTCTGCCTGCAGAAAATTAGTCTCGTATGACTGCCATTCCTACGCATACACAACACCTTTCATTGTCCACCTGTATACTAAATACTCATTCGCTCTAAAAACATTTGAAAAATGCTCGCTGTGAAGTGATTGGCCCGATATGGAGATTCTTGCAGCATTCCAACATCATCTGGAGCGACGAGGAAATATTTGTGATGTTTGGCAGTGAGGTAAGGCTGTATTAGTAATGTACGGCACCCTGATAGGAAACATTTCGATCGAGAAGCATCAGCTGCCAACCGCGGAACGCCACAAGGGCTTGGTAAGGTTGCCGTGGAAAAGTGGGACCACGTCATAGGAGAGAAGCATGATGTAGGCAGACGTATGTTGTTAGATTGCTAGAAGGAGTTGTCTATCCGTAGGCATGGCAGTCGCACGACATTGACTTTATATGTCAGCACAGCAGCGACTCAAAGCATCGAGCCCCTCACATGTAAGGAATGGCTTTCGACAGCATGGGCCATTCTCCCGAGATGCTAGAAGGAGTTGTCTATCCGTAGGCATGGCAGTAGCACGACATTGACTTTATATGTCAGCACAGCAGCGACTGTAAGCATGGAGCCCCTCATGTAAGAATGGCTTGGACAGCATGGGCCATTCTCCCGAGCAAAACGTCACATAACCGGTGAGGGAGGAGCCGCAAAGAGGTCTGTCAAAAAGAGGTTCGAATATGAGCGAAAATCTGATTCATACGATGGAAATTGGAAGGCGAGCTCTTCTAGGAAGTAAACTTCTTACCTGACCTCATTTTTAGACCTAGATAATACACACAACTTTGGAGTTTTTTTTTCGGCAATGTGCTGGACTTGCTTACTGTTAGAGGCTGTGTGGTTAGTTGACCGTTTTATTGGATTATACGTTATTTCATTCGGATAAACTCACTACGTGATTTTTCTTTTTTCTTTCGGAAAATCTATAATTATTGAACCTTGGTTTAAGCTTAAGCTTGATATTTTTTGGTTGGATTAGAAGCCACTTGATGAGTAACTGGTGCAAAATTGTAAAAGATCCAGTGGTTTCAGAGGAGAAAGTCTGAAAGAAAACCGCTCATCAATGTTTTTGGCCGCTGCTATTCATGTTTTGATCGATGGGTTTTCACCGTCTCATGTGCTTAAAGGCAATTTTACAACAACTCTAGTCGTAGCGAACGAAGGGACTGATGAAAAGCGATAGCCAGAGCGGATTAGCAAGCATCACCTATCGTAGGTGCTTGCAAGTAGCGATTGTGCTTCGTTTCTTGATTTCCCACGCTACGAGTATTCAAATGTTACTCACAGAAACTAAAGCATTGTTGGACTGTTAGTTATTTGATGAGAAAGTGCTATGATTTGGGGTGCGAACGGTTGTTGTTCAGTGTTCTATTGACTCGATTTCAGCCTTTCTACGTCTTGAATGACGTCGTTTTCTTACTGCGCCCTGTACAAGCTGATCTACAAGAATACTCAATGTCTGGCAATTCTACTCATACACATAAAGAGTTATAAACTGGTTACGTTTATGTTCTGTCACGAATTTGGTTACGGTTGTTGTTTTACGTCATTGACTCGATTACAGCCTTTCTACTCTTGAATGACGTCGTTTACTCTATCTCTCTACACCCCTCACAAGCTGTATATGTAGAAGCATACTCAATGTCTCGCGATCCTACGTCTATATATAATGAGTTGTAGATTGTTTTCGCTCACGTGCTGTGACCAAGGTTGGTAAGGTTGTTGTTTTCTGATTCTAGCCTTTCTACTCGAATGACGTCATTTTCTGTCTGTACCCTGTAGACTGATATAACCTCCCCTTCAAAAAGCGAGAAAGTGTCGGGTGCAGACCAAACACCACAACTGACGACGGCCTCCAAGTAAATCTGGTTAGAAGTGTTCATAGTGATAGCTGATTTTGGTAAATGATAGTTGTAATTAGTGACAACTGATAGAATACAACTGCAACAGGCTAATCATTTCATTGGCAGAAAACATTAACATTTTGTGAAGGCCGTCGTCACTTGTGGTGCATGGTCTGCACCCGACACTTTCTCGCTTTTTGAAGGGAGTACAAAGGTACCCTCTACAGTCCATATTTCGAAGTCTGATTAGGCATGTCTATAGCCGTCTCCGCACTCGATAGATGTCGGTTGATGTGCTGTTATTAATAGTACGCTGGATATCAGCAAAACATGTAGCTTATCCATGTTTTCTACCAAGTGCGGCGCCGCCACGTCAAATCCCTGGCCACACCTGCTCAGACTTCGAGATATGGACTTTATAATAGTGTACGTACCTTAACGAAATTGATGGACTAATGTCGTAGCATTGTCTTTCTAAAGAACTTCAGGAGAAATAGTGAAAATGTGAAAAGTAGCAGTTAAGCTAACTGTTAGTGGGGATACGACCTCCACAGGGCCTAGTTGGTTCTAACACCTACTCACCAGTAACGTCGCATCGAGGAATTGGCCGCTGCAGTGCGACCCCCATCTAAGTGGGTTCTTTTTATAACCTTTTCTCGTTTTTTAAGAGTTTCTGAATATACCCCCCTCCGAGAGAGAAAGGATGGTATATCGACTAGTGAGACAGCAAAGTTTACATGACTGGCGTTCATTTCCCAACCTATCCTCACCAACCTCATCTAGCGACCCTCGAAAACCCTAATTGGGTGAGTTACTGACTCTTCCTCTCACCAGGGCAAGTCCAATCATTTGCCAAAAATCCTCGACCGTTGTTCATCCTGCTAGAACTTACCTTCCATCTTACCACCCAAAATTTCAACTAGAAGGAAATATAAGTGCTGTATCAGCGAAATTTTTCGAAAGTTAGGAAATTTCACCAGTGCGATCCATTAATAACTCACAGATGCAGTGCTTTCCGCCTCTCCCCGTCCCCCGCCACAGCACCCTCTCGTTAAACTTTGCGAGTTTGACGGTTCACGTATGACAGGTTTTGATCTTATTTCACTTAGGATTGCATATCAACGTAGGTTTCTGGTCCAAATAAATTATTTACAATTGTCTGATTCTTCAAAGTTATTCTCATTTCACACGATCAGATAAAATATGTTACATGGCCTTTTGTGATACCGTCAAAGTAGCATTAACTACCAAAATGGTATGTGAACCCTGATGTCGTTAGAGTTGGGTTACAACTGTATTGCCTCTCTCCGATGCAAAACCAGCCAACATTGGCCTTGGGCGGTATACATTCATACTATTCATGTGCAGTCAAAGTAGCGGACTCGACAATACTTGGGACTTAAACTTGGGAACGTTCAAAAAATATTGGTCATCGGCTGTTCCGTGACTGGTAGTAAGAAGATTACCCATCCCGTGGTTGATTCAGTTGCCATGAATGAGGTCTCAAGGCGTACTGTACGCAAGGTCAACCTTATGTTGCTACAAGTGCCGATGCGGAGCGGGTCGTATTTTGTTGAGCTTGTAGGGGGGAGGGGGTCGTACTCGCTTCAGCTCTATGAATTTATATGTGAAACGGCGGTTAAACTGGAGTAATGCATGAGACAACATGTGCAAGAGGCTCGGTCAGTTTAGGGCGTGTAGTATGAAAGTGAGAAAAAAAATTTGCTGTTTCATTACACATATTGCACGTATACAGTGCGCTTCATAATTATAAGGTCACCCTAAAATATTGCATTTCCGGAACCAGCAGCCAACTGGTAATTTTTCCACTATCACCAAATGATTCCCCACTAAAGTGGGGAATCATTTGGTGATAGTGTAAAAATCGAATGAATAACCCCTGTATCGAAATTTTAACAAAGCTGCTTCTTTGAACTTTTTCATAATTATGTTTCGGTTTTTGCACCGTTTCATAATTATAAGGTCACCCTGAGAAAAACAACAATCACCTGAGATCAATGACGGATAAAAAGACATATAATCTATGGTTCCGCCTTTATCAAGGGCAACACCGAATACATCGTCTCAGTCTCCGTAGCCTACTGGAATTGAGATTCCAAGGTAGATGACCATCGATTTACTTCAGTGTTTCACTGGTTGCTTTTTCAGCTCTTTGAAGTTCGTAACTGGCGTTTATCCGCACTATTCTTCATGACGAAGATGCCCCTGAGATGTTCTACTAGAACACGACTAGAAATTCAGAAAAATTTGTTCAGTTCATCAGGGTTTCGAGAGAAATGCTGCTTCTGGTTGAGTGACCTACATGGGTACCTGTGCTGTTCTGTATGACTACGTAGGCTAGCCGACTTCATCAGCTCAAGGAGAGGTCAGATGTCCTTGCAAGGCTCTATGCTAATCTTTGGAGTCCATTATGCAGTTCATGGAAGCGAAATTTTGACACAACATCATTACAAAAAACACCCACACCTTTCACATCTCCTTAACTAAAATTGCAAGCGCTGAAGTGAATCGGCCACCTTCGCAAGTCACTTCAAAAGTGTTTATATCCGCAGAAACTGTTTGTCTAAACCAGTTTTGTCCGAAAAATTCCAACCCTACTGAAATTATCTTGCTGTATGGTGCGATTGTGGCGCAGGCTCAACTTTGTTCAATCTCTCTCTAAGTTCAACTTTACGGGTTGAAGTTGTGCTTCCTCGTAATGGCCAGTGAGCCTTCGGACCATCTTTGTCGCTTTCCTGAATGTTGCTGCATCTTTTCACCGCTCTCCAGTTCATATTTTTCAAGATAGAAACATTAAATTACGCGCGACGCTGATTTCAAGAGGAAATACTGTTTGGGACAGCCCTCATAACTCTTCTCTAATCATTTATAGAACCTTTTTGTGGATGTTCGAAACTTGTAGAATATCTGGAGACGTAGGAGCTTTTCAATTATCCATGAGCAGAGCTAAGGACTGTCCGAAGTGCTTTGGAAAGACTCGCGAACCGTGCCAAGCACCATGAAATGCATAAACTTTACCTTTTCTTCAAAAGGCGAGTACGAAACATTCCATAAATTTAGCTAATGGGTGTGTTTGTAACAAACATTCAATTTCACAGGCAGGTTGGTTGTTTCTGATAATGTAGTATTCATTTTCACAGGGTGACCTTATATTATGAAACGGTGCAAAAATCGAAAAATAATTATAAAAAAGTTAAAAGAAAAGCTGCTCCCGCCAAAATTGCGATACAGGGGTTATTCATAGTGAGGAATCATTGGTGATACTAGAAAAATTCCAGTCTGGCTGCTTGTTCCCGGAAATGCAAAATTTTAGGGTGACCTTATAATTATGAAACGCACTGTATACCCCTATGCTCCCCCCATGCCTCCTCCCTCCCCATCCGTTTTGGAGGAAAAAGAGTATGGACTGTGGAGTTTTATATGTCGACTGGTCTCAGAATCAAATACTATAGAAACAGCCATGATGGTGGCGGTGGTGGATGGGGTAGGAAGAGCGTGGTCGTATTGGGGAAGTTCCTGAGTCTCATGGTAATGGTGGGGTCGTATCAAATCCCCCATCGAAGGGGTGGGGGTCGTAAAAAAATTCCCGAAAAGTACCAACGGTAGGCCGACCCTGACTGTACGGCAAATGCCGCAGCTCTTTCTGAGTGGGCGTTGATGAAACCACCGAACGACTTTTGGGTAATTTCAAGTTCCTCATAATTTGTGTGTAAGTGAAATTTTTGAAAAAGGGTTAACAAATATGTCATTTCATGAAGACCTGAATCGTATCTTCGGAACGTGCCACGTTCTTGTGAACCCCACAAAACCTCGTTTTATCGACTCCCGAAGACTACTTAGCGTTCTAGATTAGGGTGTTATTCATTGAGCCTATTAGCAAATCTCATCGAAGAGGCTATCTACTAGGCCTGTAATAGTAACTGTTCAATGTTCTGAAAAGTCAAGATGATGTGTGCTTCGCATTATTGCTCATGCCATTTTTGAGTTATGATACAATTGGTACTGGACCAGAGTTAGCTTATAGTCCTACCGTAGTGCATATGCAATCCAGGTGTAGGGTACGGTAATTGCTCACAGTAGGAATGTGGTCACGCGGCGTGATTGGGTCTCAGGATTTCTGTCAAGCGTGAGGTAGGCAACTTAGCACTTCGTAGTGCTGTCTGAGATCACTCATACATGCACACTATCACAATATCTCTGCCTTCTTTACCTCTTGGAGGGGCTTACGAGATAAGAGATAAGTGACTGTTTCAGTCCATGTATGCCATGGTTGAATCTTTTGAATGTTTTTTCTTCAACAGTAAATGAACTGAGCATTGAAAGAGCAAGAGCACAATCGATTTTGATTTTGGGCTTTCTGTACAGAGTTCTAGCCTAGATATTCAGCTCGAGACGCATTTCTTCTGTATACAGCTTCATTGATTAGCGTTTACTTTCAGAAAAACAATGATATGGGAAGTAAATAATGGCAAATTGAAACCATTCTAAGTGTAATATAGCAAGCCTTGCATGTAACCTCTGCGTATTCCTTTCATTTCTTGGCTCGAGATACCAGAGAGACGCTGTAAGAGTAATAATATCCTTCAGCAGAATGTTTTCTTGAGGTCAGAGTAAAACTTACGGTGTTTTCAGCCGAGAAGCTGGGGTTTTAGGTGCCGAGTTACTTCTCCTGCAATGTGAGAGTTATGAACAGGTTCACTTCACTGGATTTAAGGATAAAAGGGTGGAGCATTTGCCTTTGTTTAATCCAGCACACAATCTACTTCCATTATAAATTCTTAGTGGCATTTGAATGGATTCGATCCAGGACTCAATCCGCGAACCGCGCGCGTGATAAGTCCCCTGCCACTTCACTACATCCGCCCTGTTTAATCTTTCCAGACAAGTCTGGTACCAATTAATTGACTCCGGTGAGAAGAAAAGCTTGGTCCACCCGGCGACGCACGACCCAGAATCACCATTTCCGCCCTTTCGCTAGATTACTGGCCGTATTTATGGTAGTGAAGCCCTTCAGAATGCTCGAGAGAGAGCCTAAGGTGAACTTATTGTCAGATTGTACGATAATGGGAATTCCTAACTTGTTTTGCAGGTCCCACCCTGTCTTCTCGCTTCTCAACGGAAGTGACCACACGCCCTAAATTGCTCTTCCTTAGACACCATACTTTCACCTATTCGGCAACACCGATGGGTGAAAGTATAAGGTAAAGGTTGCCTACAAGAAATGCACTTCACAAATCGGGGGAGTCTGAAAGAGCCGAAAAATATCAATGCTAAGTCTTTCCATGTCTATCTGTTGGTCTGTTATGTCGCATGCGAGTATACACGAATTTCACTAACAAGTTATATTTGTATGAAACCTACTTGGTTGGTGTTTTATTGTAACGTTCTGGTTGTCGTATTCCAGCGGACTGAGTTATACTCCGACTAGTGCTTTGCATCGCCCGACTTGCAGAGCGGCTTTCAATAGAGCTGTAAATAATCACTTGCAATATTCACAAATTTCATTTAAAATTGCACATCTCAATGCGACTTTGCTGAGACTGAGCTCTTTCCGAACGGCACAAAGATTTCCATTAAGACAATAATGCTACAATCGAGAAGTTCTGCGACCAGTTCCTATGCCAACCCCTTCCTCCCCCTTACCCTCTGTTAGATAGATATCGAGCCCAGTCAAGTAGCTGGATCAGTTTATAGTCAGACGAAAGGGATCTCATGGCTGTAAGCTACCAAAGAGGCG